GTTCCCTGCTGTTCCTCTCCTCAGTTGCTTGGTATACAATATGAGTAATCCAGTGAAGAGCTTACTGGTGAAAGGAGCTCATTAGAAATCCTTCCTGCCCACTGAGACACTGTAGCATGTAGCACAGAGTGGCAAACATGAAAACACAGATATGTCAAAATAATACTGCATACCACTTTCACATATCCCACAACGCAACAGCGTCCTGTCCAAATGGTAAACAATCTGTTCACACTGCCATGCGATTCAACAGATTCACTGAAACAACCAGGCACAGATGGAATCTGCAGACATTGCATCTAATGCGCCGATTTTCTGAGGAAATATACAGAATTCTGTAGAATGGATGTAAATACATTAAATACACTACGATATAATTTGAGGTCTGTAAATTTTTAAAGAAACGAATGCAAGGATGCATTAAATTAATCAATAATTACACTTGCAAAAAATCAATTTTCAATTGTTGCAAAAAATCAATTTCAAATAGATGCTGTTCTTTTAAACCTTTTAAGCAGTAGAACTGTTTTCGAATGTGAAAATTGTAAGAAATGTTTCTTGAGCAACAAATCAGCGTATTGGAAGGATCATGTTACACTGAAAAAAAAAATAAACTGTGCCATCAAATGAATAAATTATTTTTTAAAGTATATTAAATTAGAAAAAGGTTATTTTAAATGGCATTTTCTGACAGCACAGAATGAGCAACTCTAACATAATAATAACACTGTACAATATTACTGTTACTATAATGTATTTTTGATCAAATAAATGCAGCCTTGGTAAGCATAAGAGACCCCAAATGTTTGAACAGTAGCATATGTTAAATGGAGTTGAGAGTACTACACTTTTTATTGGCTGAAAGTATAATCAAATTAGCCAAAATGTCTAATAAAGAGCATTCCAAGGGAAGTGAATGTGCAAAACTCTGTGAACGATGGGTACAGATTCCGTGTGAGCCTGCTAATAAGCTATCAGCACAACAGCCATGTAAATGGATTAATCAGAGGCAACGAAAGCATTTCGGCTGGGGGGCACTGACCGAGTTAGGATAGTTGAGATAGCAGATCTGACATGGCATGTCCTGTGCCGACGATCTTGTGTTCATGAGGCGTGTCCGAGACTTCTTGCTGGGGTTTATAACGTGACACTCTGAAAACAGCTTGTCCAGGTTACCATCAAAGTACCTGCAAAGAGGTAAACGGTAGATTTTTCTCAAAATCTGTCGGTTCAGTATTGAATAAAGACAGGTGCTAGCTGACTAATAATTTGGTGGAAGGAAATAAAGCACACTTTATTCAATTACCTTTCCATCAGCTTTTCTTTGTCCCAGTTAAAATGACTAAGTAATATTCTAGTGATTGTAGCAGGATTCTGTAACAAGAGAGATACATACGAGAGATGCATACAAGATGCATACATTTTTTTATTACATCAAAAATAGACAAAAAAAAAAAAGACAAAGCAAGCATATTTATTCATTTAAAATTTAGTATGATCACTTATTCTTTTAAATATTTTAATATGTACAGGTCAGAATAATTATGTTTTCGTTTTTACAAAAATATATCTGTTACGCTGAATGATGATGGAACATTATTTCACCCATATTTTGATGGGTTTTTTTTTTCCACAAGTAATTTGAAACAATTAATTAGGCACTTTACTTGCATTTAACATGCTTTCTGTGTATATAAAATCACTTTTGTAAATATACACACACACACACACACACAATTATTCAGTTATACCTCTGACTACCATAACACACAAAATTGAAAATATTAATAAACTACAAATTTAACTAATATCCATTTAATGGTTAAAATCACCCGTTTTATTGCTTAAATTATGGCTAGATTAATAATTTGTCAAGGAAACACTTGATATTGATTACCGCCATTATTATTATGTGACAAATTACTAATTAAAGCCTAAATAACTGCTAGCTGGTGTCATGAACCACAACACTCCAAAGAGCAGCAATTATGTGATTTCCACTGTTTTTAGACAACAGAGTTCCTCCTTGCCCGTCAGGGAGAGAAAGCCTGAACTACAATACTCCAAAAGGTTATTTGGGCTGACATGTCAAAGGAGCATATTGACAGGCAGTCCAGAGGGATGCTGGGAGACGTGACCACCATAACCTTCTGGATTAACTCGACGTTCCTCAACTAAACCAAAGTCTTCTTTCCGTTCTGTTGAAAATGTAAGGCAGGTCTTCTAGAACAAGCTTGAACTGTACTGGGACAAACACACAGCAGATACTCTTAAAATAGAAATATATAGGTATGAAGTGAGCCACAGCATTAATCACTTCAACTCATCACAGTAACAGCATGTAAACATAACAAAATGCATTTGCTGACGGCACAGAACGAGCAAATCTAATCAATTAGCACACAATCTGGAAATTAACCAGCATAAACAAAACACAACTGCGGGACGCAGAGTGAAATGTCGAGCTTCAGGAGACAGTTAATACTCCAAACAGCCTGTGGCTATGACACTGCAGCAGAAAGCAAACATAAATCATTACTCAAATTCACTTTGCTGGGCTATTTTTGTGCTCTTTAAACAAACATAACCAACCATGATGAAGCATAGGCTCCGCCATGTTGTTGTCGGGAGCAACTAGGTAACTCTCACATGCTAACGCGACCTACCCCATATCCCTGCTTAACAGAGAACGAAGAAGTCTTCTTCTTCATCAGACTAGCAACAACCTCCCCTGAAAACCTATGAACACGTCGCAATGTAGTCTCTGGTGTACTTAAATTTGGGTTGTATGCTCGTGGTTAGCTTACTAAGCTAGTGTGACCAGGAATAAGGGGTTCTAATAAAAATGGAGTGATTTACAATATTATTATTTTACTTTATATGTGACGTGGGTTGTCATATGTTAAAATGCAAACATTTTGGCAATACAAATGTAGTTTTAAGTAAAGCGCATATAATGGGACTTGGCGGTCTGATTTTGTATGCAGGTGAACTAGAAGCTAGTTAAGCATCTTATGTCATTACTGGATGTGTTAAGGACAGGGGAAAGGCTAGGCTGACGCAAACCTTCTCATTCATATCTGTGATCATGGCCATATATTTATCTTGTCGACGTACCAACGATGGTTTTAAAATCAGTTTGGTTCAAAGGACAACTGATGCATTTCTCATGTCTCTCGTGTTGTCAACGGGGGGCAAAGTTTCCCAGAGTAATGTAAAAATCTCCTCTTTTGTTATAACGGGTAATCCAGGGTGATCTAAACACAGGGGAAGTCCTAAAAATACTTACCTGGATGACCTCGTTGACCTCCCTGATACACTCCACCATATGCTGCAGGATCTGTTCGGCGGTTAGAACTTCAAAGCGGTAGTCTTCCTCATCCTGACCGGGCCCGAGGCCGCTGCCTCCCGTCTCCCCGCAGTCGTCTCGCTCTCCGCCGGCCACAACGGCATCAAGCAACTCCACCTCGCCGAGCTCCAGGGTGTCGTCCGCGGTCTCCTCTTCGCCGCTGTCTTCGCTGCATTCCTCTTCCTCGTCGTCGAATTCGTAATTGTAACCCTCGTCCGAGTCCATGACTGGGCTGCGTTTAATGTAGCGACACGCCAAGTGGGATATGTTTGATGTGTATTATTTGGCAGACAGAGCAAAACAAAACGAGAATACTTCTGTAGCTTGCTAGCATTCCAGCTTTTCTAGCAGCAGAGAAAACAACAACAGAGGAGCGACGCTGCTGTTGGGCCAACAAAGAGACGCAGCGTCACGGGCCGACGCGGGGTGACGTCACGTGCGTGACACAAAACAAGACCCGTTTTAAAATAAAGTTGTTCGGCTGCTGCTCAATTAAAGTGTTTATGTGCTGTCATATAACGTTACTGAATTTCTTAAAAAATACATCTAAAGATAAAATACATTTATATTAATGACGAAGTAAAAAAAAGTATGTTAATCTACTTTGTATATGTTCAATGTAACATTGGTTTTACTATTGTTTCTATTGAATATTGTTCTTGAAAAGTGTGAAAAAAATATATTGGAATAAGACTGGGATGTGTGGGAAGGATTAGTGTATCTGATGTGATATTTTATTTTAAACATGACATTTTGCATTGAAAATAAATACATAGTACAGCTGTTAATAATATTTAGTAAACATACATATAACATATAAATAGAAAAAAATAGCCATTTTACAAACCAAATCTCACACATTTTATAAATGAAGTTGTATCATAAGAAAAGTTAAAGGAAAAAAAATCATAAAATCATTGTATTGTGGCTTTGTATACATATTTACATCTGTGTTGTTGTGGCATAGTTTTTCTCTCTACTTTCTCTTTTTATTATTTATTTATTAATTATTATTATTCATTTGTCCTGTAAATTAATCGCAATTTTACACATTTAAAAATATATATTTTAAAAAAGGTTCCTTCAAAACAGTTTACGGAAAGGAGCCCTATTTGTATGGATTTTGGTTCACATTGTACATGCCCTTACACAACTGTTGAACAGAAGAACATTAAAACTAGTGTCTTAATAATACAATAGATAGATAGATATTAAATTAAATAATTAATAATAATTAAATTATATAGATAGATAGATAGATAGATAGATAGATAGATAGATACATACAATAGATAGATAGATAGATACATACATAGATACATAGATAGATAGATAGATAGATAGATAGATAGATACATAGATATATTATATGTTATGGTAGCAGAAATAAGAAAGCAGGTCAGTATTAAAATCATAACAGACCGGACCTCTTTTCTGTGTGGTGGTGGCTCTTGGTATGATCTTTTCAAAGTATGCAATTCTTTCAAATTTAAACACTTACCGCCTGACTTACTAAAAGCTCATTAAATAGAAAAGGCAAAAATGAACAGCTACATCTAAAGCCTATATAATGGTCTGGAAAATCCTTCTGCCTGGTCTTGCGTTGTCCAGTAACTTAAAGAGGCGGAACCGAATAAAAGGAACGTGTTTTCTACCGAACACATTTCGAACAAGAACGCGTTCTCCCGTTGCCGTGGCAGCAGCGACTTCAGGAAGAACGTTCGGGCGATACATGATGGATGCTCGAGAGATAGGTAATTAATTGTTTAAAAATATTCATAAACTTTTGAATTGAAAAGAAATCCTTGACCACAAATCTATTCGTTTGATTGTGCACTGCCGTCCAGTTCCAGTGGGCCAGCCATGCACCTGCACTTCTACCAGCTAGCTTACGGAAATCTGGCAGACTAGTTTCATAACTGTGATCGGATCTGTAACATGTGTTCGCAGGAAAATAAAAATGCTAGCTGTGTTCTTGTGACCTTATTTAAACTTCTCTATATGAACTTTCTATAAAACCCTAAAGATCTGCTGGGTGTCAACGAGAACATAGTTGAAATGCAGAATTTGGAAGAAGAGGACTTTGCTGTTTCAAAGTAAGTGATATAGTTTGTTTTCTTTAGTGAAAATGCGTGGAACTTTATCGAATTAATTTACACTTTTTCTTCTTTTATCCATAATATTTTGCCTCTCCAGATCATCGGATGCTGATGCAGAATTTGACATGATTATTGGGAACATCGAGGATATTATAATGGGTATTTATATGCCTATTATTCTATTAAATCATCCACAGTCACTTATGAGAACAACTGTTAATCTTTAATATAAGGTTTTAGTATTCATCTATAATAAGTGTGAATATCATCACATAATCTGTCAAGAACATGTCCCAGTTCATTTTGGTGGAAAATGTACTTAATATTAATTGTTTTAATTTGTGTATGCAAAACGTAATTTCTTTTTCTTTATTTATTTTCTTATGGTTTGGAATGAAACGAGACCTGGACATGCATTCATGCAATTCACCCAACCGAATTATAACGGACACATGCGATTTTCTTCACAGAGGATGAATTCCAACATCTTCAGCAGTCTTTCATGGAGAAATATTACCTTGAGTTTGATGACTCCGAGGAGAACAAGCTCAGCTATACACCTATTTTTAATGAATATGTATGTGGTATTTTAAGCTTTATTTTATCACATGTTTATGACCCTTGTAAAGATGGAAATACTGTATTTAACTGTCATTTACTAAATTTTGCTATCTCAGATTGAAATCCTAGAAAAACATCTGGAACAGCAGTTGGTGGAGCGAATTCCTGGATTCAATATGGATGTCTTCACCCATTCACTTAAGTATGCTATATGAATTCATCTCTTTTTCTGGGCCTGAGTATAGTGATCAAGCTTGACGGTGACTGACAGTATTTCTTTTACACTGACAATATCATGTATACTGTTAAATATACAAAAAAAATAATAATTCAAAGTAAACAATATAGACAATAGCAATTCAGTCTTAAAGGTGCAGTAGGAGATCTTGGAAAATGTTAACTTTAGCCCGGACCAAGCGTTTTGATTGGACGAACATTTCTTGATCCTACGCCTTCCACAGAATATATAAATACAGATAAATACATTTAGACCACTTAACTTAATGATTGCTATCGGGATGTGAAGAGACTTTCAACCAGCATAACAAAAAATGTTTCTGAAGACAATCACCTATTGCACCTTTAAGTCAGTATAAAACAGGTGTTTTCAGTCATTTAGATGCTACGGATCCTCAAATATGATTATCCTCATATAAAGGGCCTCTTCCTAAAATTTAGAGGGCAGCTATCAGAGCTGGGTAGTAACTGATTTCATGTAACCTGGATTACATAATCAGATTCCAAAAATTATGTACTAGTAATTAGATTAAATTACATTTTAAAATACTTGGAATCAGAATACAGTTACTTTTTTATTAATTACATGATTACATATTCACACAATAGCAATAAATGATTCATCATTTCTTGATTCCTCTTTTTCATCTTTTAAATGTTCCTTTCTAAAATTGCCTACCGCTTATATACACTCGGAAAGTCTTACTGTATTGTGGACATTCACACAAAGACCAGTCATTAGTCAGGTGGCTACACAGCATTTGACCACTGGATTTACAAAAATCATTTCAGGTTTAAGAAGTGTTTCAACATTGCATCAACTGAACACATTGATTTTTATTCAAATTATCACTCAGTGGGTTATTTAATCATGTATTACTATGTCTTTGGAAGTTTTGTGTGTGTGTGTGTTTCAAACACATTAAAATGCACAAATTCACATTATTTCTTCTTTTTTTTTGAAGTACCCCTGAGATTTTAAAATAAATATTTTAATATTTTCACGGTTGTTGGTTAATGGTCAAATGACATGCGGTAAACTAATAAAAATTTGATTCTGTAGTAAGTGTTGGTTGATGGTATTTTTAAACTATTTATTTTAATTTGGCATGTTTTATGATTTAATTAATTTATTAGCTTTTCATTAAACTCACAAACCCCCTGCAGTTCTTTTACGAACCCCAGTTTGGGAAACCTTGATTTAATTATTTTCTTACTCTTTGTATTTTTATATCAATATGGTACAAGATTATCCTATTTAAATCAAACGAGTTAGGTCAAAAGTACTCTAAAAGTAATCTAAAGTAGTCAGATTATATTACCAGAAATGTGTAATGTAATGGATTATGTTACTAACTAAAATTTTTGTCATGTAATTTGTAATCGGTAAGGGACTACAATTTGTAGTAGTCTACCCAGCTCTGGCAGCTATATATTTTCACGTACAAACACCCCATTTATACTTAAAAAAAAAAATCATAAATGTGTAAAATAATGTATGGAAAACATTTAGTTTCTATTACGTTACATTATTACCTTTTACTAGTAATTCTGTTAGTTGTATTATTTATGTATTTATTTGTTTAAAAAAAAACCTGCTCTAAAATGTCTTGTTGTATTACACATAATTTACCACTAGATGGAGGTATTTACATAAAATGGTATTTGCATAGAACGTTATTCCCTAATTGTGACCTAAATTACTTGTTTATTTGTAATCCTTCTTTTCTCAATTAGACGGCACAAAGATGAAGTCTCAGGTGACATACTAGACATGCTACTCACTTTCACTGACTTTATGGCCTTTAAAGAGATGTTCATTGATTACAGAGCAGTAAGTAAAAATCTATTCTTTTTGTACTACAAAATATAGGATTCATAATGTAAAATAATGTGTATTTGGATTGTGTTACAGTTCAGAGGAAAGCTGTTCTGCCCAGTTCAAATGTAATTCTTGGCTATAATAAAAGAACTGAAACGTCATCACCTACTAAGATAAAACTTTGGCCTAATTTTCTACTATCATGAACGGAAGCTATAAACCTGCCATAGTCTGTGGGAGAAACTCATTTGCCCAATCTTCTTTTTATAGGAAAAGGAGGGTAGAGGATTGGACCTTAGTACCGGACTGGTGGTGAAGTCTTTAAATTCTGCTTCTGCTTCACCTCTGACCTCCAGCATGGCCTCACAATCGAACTGAACCAATGGGCATTTCATGCAAATGATCAGTCAACACATGATTATTCCCATGTATATTTAGATGAATATTTATTGAAAATTCCTTTCCGACTCATCCCAAAACAAACAGACACGGTTATACTAACTTGACAGAAGGGAATCAGTGTTTAATTTAGGTTAATGTTTAAACGTAACATTCAGGTTAACTGTCAGCTTAGCCGGTATGACTCCTCTTTAGCAGTATTCATATGATCTGTCACAAAATCCAGACTCAGTGTGGATCAGTCTTTCATATCTTGTTGGCCTACAGCGCAGCAAAACACTATTGCTGTTTCTGACCAAACTGATGTAGAGAAGTGTAATGAGCATGTGAGTATCTCAAAGCTGCCACTTTATTGCACTTTTTCATATATATAGAACCCCTTCATTTTAATGGTTAAATCCTTATACAACATGATGTACCAAAATAATTCCTTTCACTTGACAATCATAAAGGGCTTTTCATTACAAAAGTATTATACAATGTGCATGATATGACCACAGTTCTAAAAGACCCGTTTTTCATTTACAAGACGTGCAGTTTCCCCAGGTGAAATATTACAGAATTAAAAAAAATAAAAAAAGGTGTTTATACAGTTACCAGAAACAATGCAAATAATCTCATTCAGTTTTTCATGCTTTTTAATGTGATGTTGAGTCCATGTTTTGGATGGCTCTCATATCTTCAGTGATGAGAAGGAAAGACTCAAAAGAGCTTTTCAAAACTAACAATACTTAGTTTTGTTGATGTATACATTACAAATTTCAGGCTTTTGACTTCCTTCTTAGAAGAATGTGTTGTTCTTACTAGATGAATGTTGCGTAATTGTGTATATTTGTTTATTATTTGTATATATAGACCCATATGAGCTTGTGTGTGAAAGAAATAAATACAATGGTTCTTTAATTATATTTTATCAAACCATTTTTATGCTCAAAACAATTAATCAATTACATTCTTAAGCATAACTTCACAATAATTCAAGAACCTCACCACTTAAATACATATTTAAGTCATTTAGTGTATCTTAAAAAAAAAATAGTACACTACTGTTTAAAAGTCGGGGCTCTTAAGATTCTTGTATGTTTTTGTTTTTTTGTAACTCTTAATGCTCACTAAGGCTGCATTTATTTGATCAAAAAGTACAATAAAATATATATTTTGTATATAATATTGTATATAAAAATATATTATAAAAATATTGTGAAATGTTATTACAATTTAAAAGTGTTTCTACATTTTAAAATTTAATTTATTCCTGTAAGGGTAAAGTTTATTATTATTTTTTTTTTCTGGAAGCCATGCTACATTTTTTTTTATTCAGGACCCTTTGATGAATAGGAAATTCAAAAGAACAGCATTTAAAAAAAAAAAATAGAAATCTTTTGTAAGATTATAAAAGTCTTTATGGTCACTTTTGATCAATTCAGTGCATCCTTGCGGAGTAAAAGTATTAATTATTTATTTTTAAAAAATCTTACTGCCCCCACGCCTAATGCACATAAGCATACACACAATGTCCATGTTTTAAACCATCAAGCAATCATGCTGGGCACAGTTATACAGAAGGGTTTTCGGACGTTCCTGAAGAGGATTTTCAGCAATGCCAAATAATCTGAGCAGTATCCCCTTCGAAGTGTCCTCACATAGTGAATGAGAGGGTTAATCCGAGGATGGTCTACACAGGCACTGTACTCCCCGCTGCGTTTTGCCCTTCACCCCTCCAGTCCAAATAGGCAAAGTAGCTGCTAGCTCCATATAACAGAGTCACCACTATGGCAAAGAACTGCAAGAAAAGATGTATGATCTTACATATTGTACTCAAGTATTAAAGGGTTCATTCTCGAAGCTACGAGAATACTTTTTGTGCGAAAAAAAAACAAAACGACTTTATTCAACAATTCGTCTCCTCCGCGTCACCCTGGTGCCATTTTGGAGAATATCCACTGAATGCAAACAGCGTATGTTGTTCTGTGTCAGCCGCACTACACGGATATGTTGTTTTCGTTTAAATCAAAGTACAAACAACGTACAAAACGTATCCGTGTGGTGCGGCTGACAGAACAACATACGCTGTTTACGTTCAGTGGATATTCTCCAAAATGGCACCAGGGTGACACGGAGGAGACGAATTGTTG